ATTCGACCATATTCCGAAATTCTCAATGAAAGAAAACAAAAATGTAAACAATTAAAGATGGATACTTTTTCCGAAAAATGTAAGAGATCCGAAACTAAAATTTTTAATAAAAACATTTAACTTTATTTTATGATAAAATACATTTTAAAAATTAAATTTATTTGTATTTTGTATTATATTGTATTAATAAACAAAATTATTTGCATATTTTTCACTTATGTAGAACCTAACCCTATACCTCAGTGTAAATATGGGTTCGTTTTACGCCAATTCGATTTGCGCCGGCTTTTGTAGGAACGGAACTGCAGCGTAAACCGAGGGCTACCTGTGTTTATTAATATTAATAGATAAAATTAATAAATATACTATGTATAGTGTAATATTTAGAATGAAAATTAAATGGAGAAGTGTAAAGTACATAATGGAACAGTGACACATATGCCATAAAATGCTAGGTTCACTGTCTTACAAATCACTATAATGAAACAAACACTAACCAAAGCAAGATTATCTCATATTATGAGACAGACTGCATTAGAACATGCATAATTGGTGAAAAGGTTGACATATCAAACAAATAGCCAGATTCCTTTATTGGGCAAATAAGGCTAAATAATTACTAAGCAGTCTGGCATTTGGCTCCTGTCAGATTACTTAGTAATTATTTAGCCTTAATAATCCGATAAAGGGATCTTGCCATTCGTCTGATATTTGAAAAGGTTTCATTTAGAGTCACCAGTTTTATGGAAAAAGTTAATTGGTTGAACAGTTGCAGAAAGGGGACAAACTAACAGTTCATATCTACTTCATAGCCCTTACTATACTTGTTCTCCTTTACTTTACTATCTTTGCTTGTCTCTCCATCATGGAGAGGCTTTGTCTATTTCTGATGCCTAGCTATAAGCTAATGCATCATGTGTTTGCCGCTACTGGTTCCCGGTGCAGGACGCGGCAATCTTCTTTCTGTTCTTGGCAAGCTTGGTACTCCCGTAGCCACTTCAGTGAGTGTTCACTTGCCATCTATACTTCTCACTTCACTGTAACTCGGGTCTATTTTTCCCTTTCCCAATCTGGGCACCTCTTGTACTTGCCTATGCCACTTGGTGGATGATGGGCTCACCCTTTACCTTCTCACTTACTTTCAACTTTTAAGAACTATGGTATTGTATCACTTCCCTTCTTCATAAATAGAACTTCATTTATCAAGCTAGCCTTCCTAAATTTCCCTGTCAATAAGGCACCTTCTCTCTGTTGCCTTCTGCCCCTTCTACTTATGTAAGCAGACAACCAGGTATTTCTCCTTCTTTCTAGACAGGCATTAGGTGTGGAGGTTCATGCACTGGACTCGCCTGTCCTGTTCTTCTGGGCTGTCACTCTGGTCGGATGGACCTCCTCGGCCACCGTGCATGGTCCTTTCGTTTTTCATATAGTGGCTTTGATCCCGGTACGGGTATCCCTCAGTCGATCAGCAGCAGCAGTTCTGCTCCAGGGTTGCTGTCTGCAGTTGGCAACAGGCTTTTCCTTCTTGCTTCCCATGGCCTTTATCCATCTATGAGTGCCTCTCTTGACATGGCATTAGTGAGCCACTGCACCTATCCACTGCTGCTATTTTCTGTTCTTATTTGTTTTGTGTCTCTTCCTCTTTACCTAGCTATGAAGGGCTTCTTACAGCCCTATGCTAGGTACTAATTACAAATTTAAATTTCAGGTCAAGATCATCATCCACTACACAGAACTACACGTCTGTTGGAGACTGTGAGATGAATGCATTGGTCTTCTAGACTCAGTTCTAATCATTTTGTCTACCATTATATGTGGTAATAATTTCCAGCAACCTCTTGGTTGATTGTTGCACTATTTTATTAAACATTATTAAGTTGGATATCTCAACTATTTTGATTTTCTCTAGCTGGCCAGGTGGAGTTTTCTGGGTTTCCTCTACCTTATCTCTTGAATTAGACCATCTCCCCTCTAGAGTCCTCCCAAAAAGCTGCTGTTTATCTATTCCTATGGGATGTAGTAATTTTCCCATCAAAATTCTTACTCTAAATTTGCTGGAAATTGTTGTCATTGGATTGCTTACTGCTGCTTTCTTCTCTTCAGTGGTATTTGAGTAACCCAGAATTATTGGTTAGGTCTGGTTAGTTAAGCAATGCAAACTGCAACTTTTCTATCAATCTATTTTCCTCTTATTTATCAAAGAAGAATAGTAAGTTAAAATAGCAAACAAAAACACAACATGCAGAAAAAAATTTGAAACATAACATATACACACAAAATTATGAACCCTCACAAGGGAAGTAGATACTTCTTATGAGCCCTATATGGGACATTTATGAGCCCATCTTGGGACATCTTTTACTAACCAACACAGACGCCCTTGTCAATATAACATTCTATGGCCTTTTTGTGCTTTCTGAGCGGTAAAGGGCCTAAAACCGCAAATAAAAAAATTACTTCATAGCAATTTGCATATGAATGTGAACATAGCTTTACATACAATTTAATCAACAATATATCAGTATTAAATTAAAAGTCAATAGAAAAAGTCTATAAAATTTTATAATAGAAATTGTTTAATATTAACAATAGATAACAATATTTATTAAATATTAAATACAATTTTTTTTTTTTTTTTTTGGCTAAATAAATTCCAAATGAAAATTAATGTGTCAATCTTTTTACTTTAACAGAATGAAATACAAATGGCCAAAGAATTTGTACAATTTGTAAAAGATGCAGAAAATGAATATCAGGTAATTATGAGTAATGGAAATATTTAATGTCTTAATTGCTTGGGTTTAGCATGTAATTTAAATATTCACTTAATTGTTTCATCTTTTGAAACAAAAGTGACAAATGCTAAATATGTGTTCATTTCGTTTTGAAATTCAGATATCCGTTTCTGAAAATTACCAGACCATGTCGGACGCCACTTTCAAAGCCCTCCGTCGACAGCTGCCGGTCACTCATGCTAAAATCGACTGGAACAAAATGCTAAGTTATCGGATTGGATCAGAACTGAAACATCATTAAATGTTCACGCCGTGCCTCATTTATTTTTGCCGTCAAATATTCACTGTCACATTTCCCAAATATTGTCATTCCACAAAACGGCAGTCGTGTTACATAACAATAAGAAAATATTATTCATATAAGTTATTATTTAAACTATTTAATTATTCATAATTTACATAGTTTCGTCTTCATATAATTGATTTATTGAGAACAATAACTGAAAATGCTTTTATATTATTGTCGTTTGTTATAAAATAACAATTGGTTCATTGTCGTTCCTTAAAATCTGATTCTAGTTTTTAAATTCAATATGTTTATCTTCATGCTTTATTTATTCTAATAATTATCAAGCAAAGATACATTGGAATAAATTACTCTACGCAATCAAATGAAACTTTTGAAAAACATGAAAAAATAAATTTTTTAATTAGAAAAATTGTTACCATCAATTTACATTCTTCATAAGGAAAGATTACAATTAGGAGTTATAAAGAATTGCTTAATATAGAAGGAATTCTAAAACTTTAATAGACTGCGATTCAATAGAATCTGTTGAGTTGTTAGCAAATTGATGATGATGTTTGGCTTTTAACTATTGAAACTAAAGAGAAAACGATACTAGGACATGAAATTCTTGCAAAAATCTTATTATTTATAACAGTTAAAAAATTGACTAAACTACTAAAAGTTTGGTAGTTTTTAATAAATAAAATAAAATAACCGTTTTTTTTCCCTCTGAAATTTATAATGAATTTTTTGATTCTGTTTTTTGTAAATATAAGTAATATATTTTTTATAAATTTAATTTAGTGACAGAATTCCACTTTATATGTAAGAACCCAAGAAACATTTCCAGAAAAATTATTATTCACTTTTAACTGTCATTTTTAAATAAACTAATAATTGTTTTTAGACTGACAAATGTAAATTTGGTAAGATTTTCTCTCTCTCAGATACCATGTGGTGCTTTCCTAGTATTGTAGGCTTTATACTGTACAAGCAAAGAACTGAGAAGAATTGTACGTCTGCGAATGACTTTTTAGGAAAGGTGGTCTGCCAAAACACACTTCTTGCAATGTTGAACAATTTGAAATAAAGTTTGAAGTGTATCCTAAAACAGTGTTTAAAACAAGTGTTTTCCTCTTTACAAGATTATTTGCTGACATATATTTAGTCAACTCCATATGCTAAACCATAACAAAATTAAAGAATTTTTTACTAAATGAGGGATTCGGATGTAAACAGCAGTAATCCACAAAAGTTTTAAATTATCTATACTGATAAGTTGCTTTCTCAAATGGCCATCTGGTGAAATGATCAGAAGTGTCAATTTATGCTGAGGGAAGGTGAAGTCAATCAGAAGTCCCTGATATTTGGCCTTTTAAAGTAGAAACAATAAAAGAATCTATGTTTATGTTTTTACTAATGCACTATGTATATGTGGGTCACTACTATTTACATCCAAATCCTTCAAATATATACAATATATAAATTTGAAAGTTTCTTGTAGTGAATAGTTGAGAGATATCTTTAAAAAAAAGAAGGAAAAAAAACTTATTTAGAATGTATCTGACCAAATAAGAAGAGTTGTAATGAAAACTTCAGAGCAGAACATGTTTTGAAGAGTTTTTTCATAGGCTTTCATTCTCTTCAGTTTTGAGCAGAAGAAAAAAGCCTACAAAACTATTGTTGTGCCAATGATATCCAAAACAGAGAGAATCTTGCCTCAAACTTTTGAAATTTCTGGGAGAGACATTTTTGCAGAGCAACGATTTTATAGATGGAGTGACACCAAACCTAACCTCCAATGCAAAAAAAGAAAAAACTATGTATGTGTTCATTCCTACATATTCCAACATGAAAAAAGAAAAATTAGAAATGTTAATATTCTATATGTATTTTAAAAATATTCATAGTATTTATCTGCTGTATATAATAACCCAAATGTACATTCCATTCATTTGTTGTGATTCTAAAGAACTTAAAATTTAAAAAAAGAAAACAGAAAATTTGTATTTTCAATTTGTTAATTTTTTATTGCAGATTTTCTTTTTTTATTTTTTAATTAATTAGAGAATCTTGTGTGTTGAAAAGTATTTGTTAATAATAAATCTGTTTCTGCCAATTGTTCAAAACTTTTGTAATTGAAAGAATGCATTTACTTCATTGTTAATTAAAGTTCTGTCGTTTTTTTAATTAATTTTTACATTGATAAGTAGAAATTGCCTGGAAGCTTTGAAACAATTAAAGGACTCTTAATGGCCCTCTACTAAATACATTGAATATACCATTTATAATATAAATATTACTGCTTCAAAAACAATATTCTATATATATATATAATATACATTAACAAATATATATTACATCAAATTATATATATAAACCAAACTGGGACGTGTTGCATGTTTTTTAAAATTGCACAAAACCCTCTTCCATATACAAGTCTATTACCCAATTTTGTCCGTATTGTACCATCTTATATCACAATTTGTGCAAACCACATTGCAAAATGGAATGAAGCATAATTAAATTCTAACTTCTACTTGAAACCGGTATTTTTTTTTTTTTTAATTAATGGGCGAACTTTTTCAGGGGATCATTTTAGGGTTTGTGTAACTAAATCCTCGAAACTGTTCTTGATCCATGGAGTCCATGATCTCTTGATCGATTGGGGAAAGAACTGGCTTCTCCAAAGTAAAATTACAGTCAAAGTTACTGACGTCGTATGGTCCTTTCTGAAATAAATTTTAATTTAATTATGGTTAAATGCAATTAAAATCTTCGTAATCATTTCGTTTCAGGATGGTCTAACCTTTTATGGCTTATAGTGCCTTTCATATCTTGATGTAATGACTGCTTTAGGCTACTTAAATGAAATTACATCATGGATTGGATTGATGGAATAAGGCAAAGTAACGTATGGGAGCTGTGAAATGGAGAGAGTCTTCGGGACGGCTTTCTTTAGTAAACTGACCCTAGAACACCTAGACACGTGAAGAAAACCCTAAAAAGTCCACGCGCCCAGCCCATTGGTCGAGTGCTCAGTGGTTTTATCCACTGGGTCACTCGTGGGCATAAATTCCATCACAAAAGTTTGGAGAATCGGTCGTAAATTCGTGTAATTATATTGATTAACGAGACGAATGACCCCTAAACATAGTTATCTGTACATAGTTATGTGACCCTTAGTATAGTATGTGGTAACGACAGGAGGAGGTCGAAGCAATGTGGACATTTTTTGTAGTATATTATGGCGTAAGAATATGTTCTTATAAACCTACCTACTAGTGTGAATATTAGAACTATTAGAAAATATTTACAGGGAGGGAAAGGATCAAAAGTGGCCCAAATACTGCGCGTAATTAATGGATGGCCCCTTTTCTCAATTTTTTTCAGTATCAATATTTAATCTGCTAAAAACAAAGCTCCATTGGACAAATTTGACTAAAGAGTGCCAAAAAGACACGAGTTAGAGTTACACGAAATCTGTAAATCTTCGGTTAGACCATACTGATTTAAATTTATACTTACCACACGAGGCCTGAAAGGAGGTAAAATTTCCTTCCTCTCTAACCTGTCCCAATTAATCACTTGGAAAAATGGTTGACTGCATACATCTCCAGCAGCACATTCTGGCATTCCTAATCTCCTTTCCGGATTCTTAATCAGAAACTAGAAATATATAATAATATTACAAATATAATTCGCGTAATTCTTTATCGTTTGCCTAAGGTGATGCTATAAACGTACCAACGATATAATATGTTTTGCTTCTTTGCTTATAAAACGCGGGAAAGAAGCTTCTTCGTTACAAACGGACCAAAATAACTCGTCCTCGTCCGTACCATTAAATGGGGATTGACCAATTAGCATTTCGTACAGTAAAACACCGAAAGACCACCAATCTACTGACTGGTTGTAGGTCTGGCCTTTAATGATCTGTATCAGATAAAAAGAAATTTTATTACGTCATAGTATATTCTAGAATTGCTTAATTTAGAACCATTGTTTAGTTTAAAAAAAGAAAGTCGAGGGGGAAAGTAATAGTAACAATCTTAAAATTACTATGATAACAACATTGAACTAATTAGTTTCTGAGTCATTTGAAAAGTTTGAGTCTAGATAAATTTATTTCAAAGTTTTGTTGTTTTAAAACTGGACTAATCACGCGAGGCTGAATTGTTTCTCGTAGCCAAGTAAAATATAAATGTCGGAAGCGCAACTGCACACAAATAAAACGACAATTAATTGTACGCTTGTACAGTTAACTTTGTAAGTCGTTTATTATTTACAAGTGCATAAATTTAAATCGTGTGAATCTCTAACAAATTATTCTAAAATGCTTATTATGATATCAACTAGCACCGTTACATTTAGGTTTATGGAATTAAAAGCGAAATAAGACTTTTGTACGCTCAAAGAGAGAAGAATAAATTTTAGAGGCTTCTATGTGCGGAGATGGTCTTGAATAGAGGGAACTAAATTTTGGGACCCTTCTTGTCTGAAAACGGACAAAATCGTAAAGTTGATCTTATATAGGCTATATATATAGAGATTTTTCATCACGGAAGATGACGAAACTTCACATTTACGAACGTCCGGGCCACATTTCGTCTTGGATAAAAAAATTCAAGGAAAAATCCTTGAATTTTTATGAATTTCCATACAGAACGAGAATATCTTCCTAATAACGCAAATGAAATGGTCTTCAGATAAGGTTTATTTATCATATAGATTTAATTTTATCTGAGAAATGAGAGCATAGATAAAGTAAGGATTAAGATCAAAATGGAAACTAATATCTAGCCAATATGGAGAAGTATCGAACTAAAGTTGAAAGACATGACTAAGGATTTCGCAACATGTTGAATAAGAAATAACTTGCTGATTACGAAATAACAAAGATGTCTTGGTTAGAAATAAAAAGGGAGGAATCAAATTGTCCATAGGTCTAGAAGATTTTACATATTTGTTTCCGTTCAATTTTAACAATAGCATATAGCAAGGGATCTAAAATTTACTCACGAATAATGAATAATTAGCTTCTTAAATGAATTGTGTAACCTACTCTTTGGAAAGATTACAAACTAAATTAAAAAAAACAACTTGAATTTAAATTCGACTAAGATATCAAATTTAAGTTCTAGATTTAATTCTATATTTAAAACATTGTACAGTATATTTTTCTCTCGATAGTTTTTAAATTGTGTATGAAATATAATAAAACCGCGTTTTACGACCGTTTGTTTTGCAACCCTCGCTTTTACGACTTGTGTACTTTTATGAAATGATATAGTCGTGAAAGCGAGTGTTTTCTGTACTATATATTTAATTTTAATTAAATATCTAGTACATAATTAAAATGCCTTTATTCAACGCTGTCTAATACGACTAAAATGTTTATTGCTTTTAGCGCCAAAAGTGCCATAGTGGTGAGTTTTAGTAAGGTACTGATTCTTTGTGGAAATGTCTTCTTTATCCTCTGAAATGTCACCAAATCAGATTTTGTTGCATTTCAGCTGCTAAATCGTTCTCTAGATAGCGTTAAATAGGGGTTCTTCTATATATACAGTATTGGATTGTTTTCAAAAGGATTCGATCTTTAAGAAGTTTTAAGAAAAGGGATAAGTAATTATTAAATTATATTATTTGTCGAGGTATTTACGAGTTTTTCCATAAAATTTTCCTAAAGACAGCAATTTTTATAAACACAGGATATAGGAATTTATACTTAAGGTAAACAAGTTATAACTTAGGGCCGCGCTTCATTAAAAAAAAAAAAAAAATTAGACCTAATACTCGTATGTGTTATCTATTATTAATTGGTGGAGGATGAAAGACCTCAGCTAAAATCGAAAATTTACATGATAAAATGATAAAATTTTGAGATTTCTATAAATAAATCTTATGCAATCTCAAAAAATATAATATGCTGTAAGTGTGTAAGAACCGCTTCCCAAATTATCCAAAAGGAAATATTATTTTACTCGAGAAACATTAAATCATAATATATATAATCCTCGATTCTTAAGGATTAAATTACATAAATTCTTGTCAAAAGGATGCTACCGGCAGACATCCAAAAGATGTGTATACATGTTTATCTTGTTACTAGATGTTTGTTAATAGGTCTAATTAGTCTATTTTGTCGCATGTATTTTCTTTTTCTAAAGTATGCTGCAAATTTTCTTAATCTAAACACTAATGTTATGTTTATATATGCTTCATTTGTTGATTTTTTTTTTTGTTAATTTAGCCATGTTACTGTTAGAAAGTATGTTTTAGATGTTAATCACTATCTATTTATAATGATGATAATAGATAATTGAGACTGTTACTATGGTAAATATATTTTACATTTTGCATATTATTTGCTGAGTTATTTGGTATAATTTATTTTTAATGGTTATCTGATTTTGTAGTGTAAACTGTTTTTATGGTTATTTTCAAGTCGCTTACACTGGTGGACCATATTGATACAGACAAACCTTTGAATAACCGTGACTGATAGGAACATAAAAAATGACCATTATTCGCTCACGAGTGTAAGGAAACATTTCGGTTAAGGGGCAGAGGGGTTGATTTTTCCCGAAATTTTACACAAATAAAAACACAAGTGCCAATTTTTAATTTGCCATTACTGATAATTTGTTAACTTTTTGCCATGTCTGTTTTTTCTTTTCTTTTTGTTCTTGCTTTACCTGAATTTTGGAAGTAAGTAGTTCCTGTTGCTTTCCCGACTGGTACGCCTGTGGTTATGTGGTTGTTTGTGGATTATTTTGTATGCATTTTGGTTAAAAAAAGTTTCTGAGAAAAAATTTAGAAGTGACCGTTATAGAAGATTCGACTCTATCTAATTATGTTCTTTTGCAATTTTTAATAATTACACGTAACAATTATGCGTCGAATCATTATTAAAAAAAATTACTGTTTATATCTCGGAACCTGATGATGATAGAAAACTTTAGTTTTTAAAAATAGAAATGAAGCTGAAGCAAAATAAATTTAGTTCTGCGCATCAGGATTTGAAAGTATGAATTACTTATATACCCTGCCTAATTTGATAATGCTAGGAAAAATAATAATTAAAATATAAAATCAGCAGTAAAGTTAGAAGAAACTATTGAAATAATTATTAAGTTTTTAAGTATTAGCCAATCACTCTATAAACTGTAATGTCTGGAAGTTTTGGTGTCTTAAAATTCAGATTAGTCCTCTAGTTAGATGATACAATGCTGATTTAACAGAAAATATAGGGAAAAATACTGTAATGTAATGTAAACTTTTAATCTAGAAATAATCCTAGACCGTGAATCTGTTTTAATGTTGAATTCACTTTTTATTTTCGGGTACGCTAAACAATGTCACTATCACTGGCCGAGTAGATAAAACTATTCATAATAATTTATTAATTCATTTAATCAATAATGTTTTCCATTTTGTAATCATACGAAAATGACATAACGTTAAAAGAATTTTGCTCAAGTTTCGATTATATCTAGACTCAAATACATTTAATTTAGTTTAAATTAATAACAAAATTAATATTTTGTTAGAACAAACGTGAACTTTCACCTACCTCGGGAGCTATGTACTCGGGCGTACCACAAAAGGTATTAGCTCTTCTGTCATTCTTTATACCTGTTTTACACATGCCAAAATCGGATATTTTGACATGACCGCTGTTATCCAGTAAAATGTTATCCAGTTTTAGATCTCTGCAAATTCATGCAAGCTTATTAGTAGAAACTACGGATTACTATAAAGTTATTAATTCCTCTTGGGTAAATAATCAATGTTAACATGCTGTAAGTATTTCGGGTATGTTAGTGAATCTGAAAGTGCATTAAAAAACGTACTTCTGGTGCAATGTAGTGTGGTGTGCCGCAGAAATTAGATGGAAGACATTCTTCACGATAAATCCTCATTTGGCACATGCCGAAGTCGACTAATCGAACGTGTCCTTCTATATCTAGGACCAAATTATCCAATTTCAGGTCTCTGGTCCAAATAAAAACAAAAATTCTCGTCAACAGATTCATCTTTTTATAAAAATATTTTCATGTAGGTAAATTTATTTATCTAATGTGGGATTAAACAGTTTTAAGTTAACCCAGTTTGAGTCTTATTTTAGGTCTTCATTAATCTCTTTAAGGATAATTGGACCATTAAATTTCCTTGCCAAAATTATTGGTGGGAAACTAGCACGAATATTTCATGAGCATTACGTGCTAGTTGACGCTCCTGTCAACGTTTGATGTCAAGGCAGTAAGCTTGACATCTTTAAGGAGGCATTCTCGCCAGAGTTTTGTCACTTTTGAAGGATTCTGGAATCTGAGATAGTCTGATTATTTATACCTATATACGCTTACCTGTAAACAATTCCTTTACGATGGAGGAATTTGAGAGCGCACACGATTTCTGCACTATAGAATCTAAGAAAATTAATAATGTTAAGCAATAGAAAGATTATAACACAAAGGTAAAATGTAAAGAAATACCTTGCTCTATCTTGATCAAATCTGCCAATTTGTTGAATATGAAACATTAGATCGCCTCCGCTTAGATATTCCATAACGAAGAATAAATGACTCTAATAAATTTTTAAAAAATCATTAGAATTATGTAAAATATATTAAATGATATTTGGTGCTTACCTCATTCTGAAAGGTGCAGTAAAGTTTGCATAAATAAGGATGATTACTACCTAAGGCTAATACTTTCCTCTCGATCATTGTGCATTCGATATCATTATCTTCCAAAACTACATCTTTCTTTAAACATTTAACAGCAAAGTAGCGATTTTGTCCTTTCATTTCGGCCAACATCACCTATCAAATAAAGTTTAAAATTTCACAACAAAAGAGGAAGTAAGGGAACAGGAGAACCATTATTGTTTCTAAAAATAAAGGACGGCACAGATTTAGTGGCTTAGCTTAAGATGCCAACACTCGATTAAGATGTCGAGTAGCACAGAAATAGATTAGAAGACTAGAATAAAGTCGGTGAGCGAACCAAACAAAAAAAGGAAGGAAAAAAGTCTAGAAATGTCAAGGTCACGACAATCCTATCTAATGAGATATTAATTAAAACATGACATATAACGTACGTAAGTGGGGTGGTTCATATAAACGTTTATTCCAGATAATTTGTAATTTTTGTATCTAAATTAAAGTAAATAAGTAACGTCATAGTTTTTAAAGGCTTTTTTAATCGAACATTAAGAGTATCTATTATAAATTTGATGGGGGTATACTAAATTTATTAATGTTTTACGTTGAATCATTAGTATTAAGCTTTATGTTTGGAAAAATATTATTAAAATCTCATACATTTTAATAAGAAAAGCAAAGTAGCGAAGGAACTGTCATATGTCATATTTTAAATATTAAATTGTCATATCAAATAGTTAATTAATGTGTATTTTAATAATTCCTATTGTAAATGATTCGGACATTTAAATTGGATTCTTTCAATTAAGGAAATAATCGTTAATTCAGTCTAATAGAGAAAACTTTTTACGTCTGTTGTCCAAAAATCCGTTTAAAATTTATATACTGCAAATTTTACGTGCTCATCGATTCAGATATGATCATAATTATGAAGTTATAAAAACAAAAATCAACTCAACATTCTAAGAAATTCGAAACTAAAAAGTCCGCAAAACGTGCTCAAGATGGATATAATATCATTAATATAAATGCGACAAAATAAAAACTAAACATTATTATTTTTTAATTGCATTTTCGTAACATAAATGAAACAGAAAACATATTTATTGTATGAATCAAAGTACATGTTAAGAAGAAAAATGCCTTTATTATAAACTAAGTTATGGACTGAATGTAGGCTATTAAACATAAAAAATGAAGTTTACAATAATTTGTATGAAATAAGCGAACTATTTCTACTATTTTTGTAAAGTAAATAATATTTTAAAAAGCAAGATTTCTTATTTCAGATTTTCTTTCCATATCATGATGATACGAAATTAAAACATTGTCTTATTGCTTTAAATATTTAATGCTGTTTATGTTTTAACAGCATGTCTTATATACAGGGTACTTCAAAAAATGTCAATAGTTAAATGGAGAAGGTACAGGGCCAGTATTTTTTATTTATTTATTGTTTTTTTCAAACAACAACAAAACTTTTTGCACACGACGATTCATGAGAACTACACAGAGGACACTACAAATACAAATCCAGCATAATAAGTTACGTCCATATTAGTGTTAATATTTTTGAAGCATTCTGTATAAATAACATGCTTGCGCGTCAAGTTCAACTTTTTTCACTTAAAAGATTTTTTATGTATGCTAATTTGCGTCATTTTATCTGTATTTTTTTCGTACTTTCTTTCCTTCATTGTTCTTGTGCCAAGGACTTCCGTTACAGGCATATATAGCGAGAGTATAGTAAAATTTCTTTTTTACGCCCTGACTGAAAGAATGTATTAATAATAAAATAGCATTACCTTTCCAAAACTCCCTTTTCCGAGCATTTTTATGAAATTAAAATCATCTATAGTATATTTCTTGAAGCGAAGACGAGTAGTTGTATCTTTATTAGAAGATTCTTCGTTATTATCAGTGTTGAGTTCAGAACTGTCATCGGAATCGCTACTGCTCAAACTGCTACTTGATATTGAGGGTCTCACAGAAGAGTTAGGGGATTTAGACGTCAAAGATCCTTTTTCTAATAGAACAATGTTAAAATTAAAAGAATGTCACTCTATAATATGCCTTTAACAAAATATTAATTAACAAAATTTCTCACCTTTCTTGACTGTTTCTAGCACTTCAGATAGCAATTTTTGGTTTACTCCACATAAATTTGGCATCAAGCTTTCGCATTTTTTGTGGCAATTCACTTTACACTCTAAAGATAAAGCACAATTATCATAAGCAAAATAATAAATAAAAGTAGAAGAAGGAGAATAAAAACATGCCTTCTAATTTCTGTGTCTGTGGTGGTAAAGATGGTGATCGAGGAGATTCTATTCCAGAATCTAAAGATCTCAGTGAATCTGAATTATATTGATCTAAATTAACATTTCGACGTCTTATTGCTGGGCTAGTACAATTAGATATTTTCCAATTTATTGGTTTTGTCTGCCTAGTGATAGGTTGCTCACGAAACTTGATGACTTGACGATTTCTATGGATACCTAAATCTACAGAAATTAGATTCTTAGGTCGAGGTCGAAACGTAGTTAAGATAGGTCTTTCTCTTATAATTGGTCGACGATATTCAAATGTCGTACAAGGTGGTCTTTTGGATAGAGGCGAAGTGGTTAGAGGACTTCTGTGTGGTGAACCAAACATATAGCTATGATTCCTTGGCGAGGAAGATGGACTGATAAAGCTTTGGTGATCAAAAATCGAGAATGGCTGTGGCGAAGACAATAGATGAAGACCACCGGGATCCGAACGATAACAAGGAGTGTCTCTAAGTTTAGCAAGAAACGGGATAACCATTGGTTTACTTGGTGGTCTCGTGTAAAAATTACCTTCATCTAAGTAAATGGGTGCTCTCCTTCGATACATGTTTTCACAATGAGATGCGTATTTGCTATGGTGGTACTGCGAATTTCCTCCAGTTATACCGCGATGTCACCGCACTTGCGTTGTATACAGTTTATCACGTGATTTTATGTTTAGAAGGTGACGGAGGGATTCATATTTTTATCAACAAATACAAAACGGGAGAGTCGATCACTTCTAAAAACAGACCGCACGTTGCGCGTGGAAGAAGCATGTGGCAAATCAGGTGAAGGCAAAAATAGTTTAAGTTAGCTTCTTACGTGTCACGAATGTGATAAGACACAGATACAAAGTAAGATAAAAACAAACGGAGCCAATATGTCTCTCTCTCTCTCTCTCTCTAATCCACTGCCAGTTTGTTTTTTTTTTTTTTTTAATTTTTCTTTACTTACATTAGTAAATCTATAGTTATAAATTTAGACACAAGAACTAACTCACAGGTATCAATTTAGAAATATGATTTCCGTGACAAACAAAAGTATAGATGAAAAAAATTGATATAGAAAGAGCATAAAAATGCGTTATATTGTTTTAATGCTCTTATAATAAACGTTTAGAAATTATCCATTTTTAAAACTAGAAGTTTAATTAGAATTAAGTATGTAATTATACTCTGAAAATAATAATTTGTGAGGACATTTTAACGTCATTAGGATCGGATCCAATTATACTTCTACTCATTTAATTATCGTTCTATTTATCCGTTTATCAGAAAAGTTCGTCATTGTGATGAAAATAAAGTCGGGTAAAAAAAAAAGNAATAAAGTCGGTGAGCGAACCAAACAAAAAAAGGAAGGAAAAAAGTCTAGAAATGTCAAGGTCACGACAATCCTATCTAATGAGATATTAATTAAAACATGACATATAACGTACGTAAGTGGGGTGGTTCATATAAACGTTTATTCCAGATAATTTGTAATTTTTGTATCTAAATTAAAGTAAATAAGTAACGTCATAGTTTTTAAAGGCTTTTTTAATCGAACATTAAGAGTATCTATTATAAATTTGATGGGGGTATACTAAATTTATTAATGTTTTACGTTGAATCATTAGTATTAAGCTTTATGTTTGGAAAAATATTATTAAAATCTCATACATTTTAATAAGAAAAGCAAAGTAGCGAAGGAACTGTCATATGTCATATTTTAAATATTAAATTGTCATATCAAATAGTTAATTAATGTGTATTTTAATAATTCCTATTGTAAATGATTCGGACATTTAAATTGGATTCTTTCAATTAAGGAAATAATCGTTAATTCAGTCTAATAGAGAAAACTTTTTACGTCTGTTGTCCAAAAATCCGTTTAAAATTTATATACTGCAAATTTTACGTGCTCATCGATTCAGATATGATCATAATTATGAAGTTATAAAAACAAAAATCAACTCAACATTCTAAGAAATTCGAAACTAAAAAGTCCGCAAAACGTGCTCAAGATGGATATAATATCATTAATATAAATGCGACAAAATAAAAACTAAACATTATTATTTTTTAATTGCATTTTCGTAACATAAATGAAACAGAAAACATATTTATTGTATGAATCAAAGTACATGTTAAGAAGAAAAATGCCTTTATTATAAACTAAGTTATGGACTGAATGTAGGCTATTAAACATAAAAAATGAAGTTTACAATAATTTGTATGAAATAAGCGAACTATTTCTACTATTTTTGTAAAGTAAATAATATTTTAAAAAGCAAGATTTCTTATTTCAGATTTTCTTTCCATATCATGATGATAAGAAATTAAAACATTGTCTTATTGCTTTAAATATTTAATGCTGTTTATGTTTTAACAGCATGTCTTATATACAGGGTACTTCAAAAAATGTCAATAGTTAAATGGAGAAGGTACAGGGCCAGTATTTTTTATTTATTTATTGTTTTTTTCAAACAACAACAAAACTTTTTGCACACGACGATTCATGAGAACTACACAGAGGACACTACAAATACAAATCCAGCATAATAAGTTACGTCCATATTAGTGTTAATATTTTTGAAGCATTCTGTATAAATAGCATGCTTGCGCGTCAAGTTCAACTTTTTTCACTTAAAAGATTTTTTATGTATGCTAATTTGCGTCATTTTATCTGTATTTTTTTCGTACTTTCTTTCCTTCATTGTTCTTGTGCCAAGGACTTCCGTTACAGGCATATATAGCGAGAGTATAGTAAAATTTCTTTTTTACGCCCTGACTGAAAGAATGTATTAATAATAAAATAGCATTACCTTTCCAAAACTCCCTTTTCCGAGCATTTTTATGAAATTAAAATCATCTATAGTATATTTCTTGAAGCGAAGACGAGTAGTTGTATCTTTATTAGAAGATTCTTCGTTATTATCAGTGTTGAGTTCAGAACTGTCATCGGAATCGCTACTGCTCAAACTGCTACTTGATATTGAGGGTCTCACAGAAGAGTTAGGGGATTTAGACGTCAAAGATCCTTTTTCTAATAGAACAATGTTAAAATTAAAAGAATGTCACTCTATAATATGCCTTTAACAAAATATTAATTAACAAAATTTCTCACCTTTCTTGACTGTTTCTAGCACTTCAGATAGCAATTTTTGGTTTACTCCACATAAATTTGGCATCAAGCTTTCGCATTTTTTGTGGCAATTCACTTTACACTCTAAAGATAAAGCACAATTATCATAAGCAAAATAATAAATAAAAGTAGAAGAAGGAGAATAAAAACATGCCTTCTAATTTCTGTGTCTGTGGTGGTAAAGATGGTGATCGAGGAGATTCTATTCCAGAATCTAAAGATCTCAGTGAATCTGAATTATATTGATCTAAATTAACATTTCGACGTCTTATTGCTGGGCTAGTACAATTAGATATTTTCCAATTTATTGGTTTTGTCTGCCTAGTGATAGGTTGCTCACGAAACTTGATGACTTGACGATTTCTATGGATACCTAAATCTACAGAAATTAGATTCTTAGGTCGAGGTCGAAACGTAGTTAAGATAGGTCTTTCTCTTATAATTGGTCGACGATATTCAAATGTCGTACAAGGTGGTCTTTTGGATAGAGGCGAAGTGGTTAGAGGACTTCTGTGTGGTGAACCAAACATATAGCTATGATTCCTTGGCGAGGAAGATGGACTGATAAAGCTTTGGTGATCAAAAATCGAGAATGGCTGTGGCGAAGACAATAGATGAAGACCACCGGGATCCGAACGATAACAAGGAGTGTCTCTAAGTTTAGCAAGAAACGGGATAACCATTGGTTTACTTGGTGGTCTCGTGTAAAAATTACCTTCATCTAAGTAAATGGGTGCTCTCCTTCGATACATGTTTTCACAATGAGATGCGTATTTGCTATGGTGGTACTGCGAATTTCCTCCAGTTATACCGCGATGTCACCGCACTTGCGTTGTATACAGTTTATCACGTGATTTTATGTTTAGAAGGTGACGGAGGGATTCATATTTTTATCAACAAATACAAAACGGGAGAGTCGATCACTTCTAAAAACAGACCGCACGTTGCGCGTGGAAGAAGCATGTGGCAAATCAGGTGAAGGCAAAAATAGTTTAAGTTAGCTTCTTACGTGTCACGAATGTGATAAGACACAGATACAAAGTAAGATAAAAACAAACGGAGCCAATATGTCTCTCTCTCTCTCTCTCTCTAATCCACTGCCAGTTTGTTTTTTTTTTTTTTTTAATTTTTCTTTACTTACATTAGTAAATCTATAGTTATAAATTTAGACACAAGAACTAACTCACAGGTATCAATTTAGAAATATGATTTCCGTGACAAACAAAAGTATAGATGAAAAAAATTGATATAGAAAGAGCATAAAAATGCGTTATATTGTTTTAATGCTCTTATAATAAACGTTTAGAAATTATCCATTTTTAAAACTAGAAGTTTAATTAGAATTAAGTATGTAATTATACTCTGAAAATAATAATTTGTGAGGACATTTTAACGTCATTAGGATCGGATCCAATTATACTTCTACTCATTTAATTATCGTTCTATTTATCCGTTTATCAGAAAAGTTCGTCATTGTGATGAAAATAAAGTCGGGTAAAAAAAAAAAGACAGTAAAAATATTTCTAGTCGAAGAATGCAAAAAATCTTTGCTAGGCAACGATCCACCGAAGAGTAATATGTTGAAATAATATTGTGTTTCATATGTAAGCATTTTAAAAGCTGAATTCAATTCGGCGAATTTTACAAAAACAAACTCTCAAAATAAACTAAGAAATTTATAAGAGATTTTTTTAAGACTAGTTATAAATTTTTCTAAAAAATTAATGATAAGAAAACCGTATCTAAATTTATAATGTAGCCTACTTTGTCAATTTTCCAGTATTTAGTTTAATAAAACGCTTAAATAAGAAGCACACGTCATATTTAAAAGGTAATATTACGTACTGTAAGTGATATAGCATTACATACTGAGTGACGTTAATGGGCAATAAACCGAGATAAGTCAAGAAATATTGCTAACAGGTGGAGCCACTTTCAAGAATGTGTGATTTTTGTTTTATGCATATCAATTTTCAACTGAGACCTTAATGACTGCGTAGTTTATAACATAATTAGAAAAGGTCAATACTTACGTTCGCATCGAAGGCCCTGTCGAAAAATCCCGTACAGAAGAGATCCACAATGATCACAAAAAGTTGGACTCATGTAATTGTGGATTCGAAATCTGTGAGGTACGTCGATTTTGAATCGCTCACGAAGATACTAAAGAATATAGAAAATTGAGAATATTCATCAAATTATTTGAAAATAAATAAATGTAAAAGATTCTAACCAGAGTAACTTGAGATTCTTTGCCTGATTCTGGACATTTTCCGAGGATTTTATCATGACATTTCTTGTGAACAGCTACTTGACATACTGAAAATTTTCGAGGTTTCATTTTACTTTTTTACATAAAGTTGTCAAACCTATATCTGAAAATGCCGTATATACTCACGTTGACATTGATAACCTTGCTTACCAAATCCCCTATAATGAAATGAGATTGGCTGTTAAGCTTGTATGTAAAAGCAGTATTAAAACTTAAATTGTATTCTTTTGTAATAAATTTTACGATCATCACCAGAGAAAGTCTTTACAAAATGCACAGAAAGTAGGTTGACGAAAAAATTTTGCAATGAATTTATGTCCTTTAATTTCGTGTACTCGTTGATGTTTTATTGCTCCTCTTCTGCCAATTTTTCCCAAACCATTGTGTTCGTCAAACCAGGGCGTTGCTGAAGCAAAAACAATAAGAATTCTCTCAATTTCAGTCCTTATATAATGCTAAATAAAATTAAATTTGATACTAATTTGATTTTTTAGTGTAATTTGTTCTAATTCTTGTTATTGGGGTAAAGAAAATAATTGCATCCTTTTGTTTCCTTCTTACATAAATGTAAAAATACGAAAAAATTTATATTCTTTCTCTTCTGACTTTTGGATAATATATAACTTCAATTTTTAAAAAATATCAAGCCAATAATGACTATAAAATTTCCAAAAAAGAGTTAAAAAAAGGTATAAAAAAGAAAATAATTTGTAGAGAAAAACTTTTATTTACATTATTACTAACAAGCTTCCCAAATGCATTTCGCCTGCGGCCTCTTCAGTGGGGCTTACAGTACACAAAGTGCGTTCTCAAGGCTTGATATTTTTTTTTTTAAATTGAAGTTATATATTATCCAAAAGTCAGAAGAGAAAGCAAAATATAAATTTTTTCGTATTTTTACATTTATGTAAGAAGGAAATAAAAGAGAAAATTTCTGACTCCATCGAATTTTATAATTTTTTGGAAAATAATTGCACTTCTTTCAATAGGCTTGTTAAGTTGGCTTCTCTTTTTCGGTCATCTAAATTCCTTTAAATATCAATTGTAATACAATTAAGTAAAAAATATATAGTTCTATTCTAGTGTTGTTTATTTATTACAGAAATCTCTATAATTAATACCTCAATATTTTGGCAATCAATTATTTTGACCCAACACTTCCAGGCGTATTTAAAAGTTTTAAAAAATTAATAAACACTATATAAAATTCAAATTAACTACATGAATTCTAGCTAAATGGATAAAACTATGCAAAGGGCACTAATAAATTTCATAGCACTGAATTACTTATGCCACTAGTTTTTAAACATTTAATAAGCGTGTTATAAAAATATTCTTATATTAATTTCGAAATTTCTCTTAGTTTTATTGTGAAAGTAAACACACTTAAGCATGTTAAACACGTTGTTTCTTGCGCATTCATAATTCGAGAGTTTGATTCCTACTTGAATGATTGTATTTGTCGAAGAAGAGTGCTAGGTCTATGGTTGTCAGAAGTCATTTATTTCAAAGGACAATCCTTTATTTTAGCTAAACTGTTCTTGTCTTTTATTCAAACAAGAAAGGACGCAAGACTCCTTTATTTTCATTCTTTGATGCCTGTGTTTCTTGCAGCGGCTGATTTATTGGCAGGGATGTATTGTCTATCTTTATGTATCAAGCCATATCATTCTCCATAAAAGGATATAGTTTCCCATTAAAAATTTTAAATTTGCAAACATTTACAGGCAATATAAAAACTATAATTTTTAAATTAAATTATAAATGTAAAAATGTCAGAATTTTACTTTCCCGGCTGTTATTTATATAAGAGGGCGATCGGTCAAAAAATGACTCCCCCCAAGATTTTTACATTTTTGGACTTAGGACACCTTGAAACGTCGAGAAATGCAAAAAATTCGGGGTAATTTCTATTTATATGGATGTTAGTGAATGTGTGTGGGGGGCACGATTTTGTTCACCCTGTTTGAAGCTTAATAACTCCTGTGCTTTTTGTCGAAAATTTCTGAAATTTTGCAGGGAACTTTGTGTATTAGGGGAATTGATGCTATTAAATTTTGGTGATTAAAGATCGAGGGGTGGATAGATAATGGGGTCGTGTGTATCTCCAGTAGGGTCGGACTTAATGACGATTTTACTCGTTATCAGCATTTACAATTTTTTTTTATAAAAACCCATTCCAATCCTGAAAATTAAGCTTTTTACCATTTTATAATAGTTAAAAATATAAAAAGTTTTTAAAATAAAATATGATCAGAGTCGGATTTGAGGCGATTGGAGCGATTTGTGCCAATCGGGCCCGCGCTTGAAGGAGCCCCACAGCACATCAAAATTTATATATTTAAAAATAGTACATGTTACAAAAATAAATATCTAGGTATATTATTATTAAAAATATAACAACATATTTCAATATGTAAATTAACTGTTAATTAATTTTATTATATAAAGTTTGAGAGGCCCCGCTAAAAAAAATTCAATCGGGCCTCGCACCTATTGGATCCGGCGCTGAATATGATAACAATGATGCCACCAAAATTTTAAACGTTGCCGGGAAAGTTGAGTAACTCATTGCTGGTTTATTTTGGGATGGAATGGGGATGAGTGAAAGTTAGATATGGTAACATTAATCATTTTTTAAATGTCCTTTAATCCAGTCATAGAAATCTGGCAACCTGACCTAGGTCTGACATTGTATTTAATTGTATTAAACTAGATCTTAATACAGAATAATTAAGGAAGTGCGAAGATACGTACTTATTTATAGATCTATTCTAATTATTTTACCAATTATCGAAAGCTCGCTTACAAGAATTAGATTATTTCTTTATAATAAGCACCGTATATGTAAATTTTCATAAATGATATACGAAAACAAAGGCACTTTATGTATTAACTTTATATATTATGCATTGAATATTTTACGTGTTTGTTATCAATTTGTTACACATTTAATAGGTTCTGTAATAAATATTTCAATTCACATAAGTATAAAATTTAAACATCTTTGCGTAAATTCATTTTTAACAGTGATAAATTTAGGGTTTTTTTTTTCTTACGGAATTGTATCTATTAGTAATAATACAAATCTAATAAAAGTTATTGGCTTGTATATTTTATTTACACTGTGTTTAAAAATTGTATTAGAATAATAAAAATAATGTAATTAAGTTATAAAATTGAAACGTAATTTTTGTTGATAATGAATTCGTTAATTCATATCAACCGGAAACGTTATCTGATATTAGGCCTAAGTATTAAAAATAAAAATATTACATTAGGAACTGCCTATTAATTACGTGTTCAGTTTAAGGGAAAGGGGTAGCAAAAAGTGCATCAGTGTACACTATGGGAGGGAGTACAGTATATCTAGGCATTGTCTACATGGACTTTTTTAGTAGTATTAACACTGGCGTAACCAGAGAGGGACCCGAGCGAGCCCCTTTTCGTAATATGAGAAAGTTAATAAAAATGTTACTGTAGAAAAGCTAATTTAACTGTGGAATTAACTACTGACCTAGTAATTTATATAATGTTCATTATAATTCATTATAGGCCTATAGTATTAAAATATGTAGTAATTCATATTAAATTTTAACCTTTGGTTACACTACTGGCTAATAATAACCTATGAACTTGTTCTTATAAGCCCATTTACTAGTCATGTGAATAAATGATCAGTAAGAAAATATTTGTAAAACTTTTAAAAGTCATTTCTTCTAAGTCGGGTCCATGAGTAATTGTACTCGTAATTAAAGGGGGTTGAAAGTAGAAGTAGCTCAAAAACTGTACACATAATTAATGGACAGTCCCTTATGTATTCATTAAAAATTATTAAATTTTGATTAGAAATTTTTATATAGCCTAATTTAATTATTTCTTAAAATAATCGATAATCATTTTTATCGGTAAATGCTATTTAAACTTTTGAGAATTCAATTTCTTTTATGTTAATATTTATTCGATAAATATTAATCGTTTTATTATGAATTCTTTTATATTTCTTTCCTTTTAAAGCCATCGTAGGATTCGTGTCGTTAGTTTATATTATTTTACTGACCTTCACCATCCTTGAAATGTTTGACTTGAGTGAGAATCCTCCCACTCGGCCTGAGTTTAAGCTGAAAAGAAAAGAAACTAAATTATTTGCAGGAAACGTAACGAAGGATTATCGAATTTTAACTTACCCAAATAGGTCTATTCTCTTCGTCTGCACACTTATCTGCCAAAACTTGAGCGCTAATTAGCAAATCGGCTAAGAGACGGTCGGGTCTGTCCATTACTACTACGTGCAGCAAATAACCTGAAAAGTTAATTTTAAAAATAATATGCTGGGGAAAAAATAGCCTATACTTCTTTGAAGAAGTGCTATAATGGAAAAGACGTTCCTTATTAAGAAAGCTTTTCTTACAAACCTCTTGAGATCTGGACGTCGAAGCAAGAATCCCATTCCAAATATTGACTTCGTTTCCTTTGCACAATCTCCACTCCTTTACCTGAAACCAATCGAGAATATGTGAATTTTTATAATTTTCAAATAAGAATATTTATTTTGAATACGAGTGATTAAAACAGTGCTTTATTTCTCGTTCTTTTAATGAAGCGCACATGAAAGAAAGAATGTATTGTTTTCTTCTAATCAAAGTCTTCAAAATTAAATTTTGTACCGAAAAAAACTTAATTTTCTCTGATCGTATCGTCGATAATTTTTATGGGAAACGATTCACGTGAGACGAAATATTTGTATAAATAATTAAACGGATGATAATGTGGAGAAACATCCTTCTATCATTGGAAATTGTTCGGGTGAAGCTCCTGTTGTTTAAGATGGTCGACAGTGCAGAAACTATCGATCTTCTGTCAGAAACGTGACTCAACCTAGCAACTGTTACAGCATTATTCTCAAGTTTTCATTATGCATCGATGGTTATACATCGCGATTCTATTATTTGTAACATTAAACGGTATAAATGAGAAGAAAGAGAAAACATTAAGAGTGACACATTTTATGTCATCGTCATTAATCGTATTAACTAGTAATGTATGTAACGCTGACCAAATCGAATCTGTTTAATCTTCTTCAGACAATGATAAATAAGGACGTAAAAGTAAATAATTCTGATTACCTGTAAATATGCGGCAACAGATTACATTATTATTAAGTATAATGTAGTTTAATTGAAGGCTAATTAAATACTCCAATATACTGTTTTAAAAAAATTTACAAATTGTTTGTGTAACTTTTGGAAGTGGGTTGTTTTATAATTCTTGTTATATCATTACGCTGATCACAGGACCGTAAAGACCAATGACCAAATACGTGACGTAAAAGTCTCATTATATGTTCAGCAGTCCTTTGAAAAAATTGCAAGAATATTTTTATTTCTGCATACAATTACCTGTCTAAAATTAGCAACCATTTTATTATATGTGTTCCTTTGGGTTCGTTAAAACGAGATAATTAGCTGGAAAGGACACTCGTTTACATTAAAATTTAAATAATTTATATCTTAACACAGTTTTGGAAACGTTGGCAAAAGTCAAATAATTTTAAAGTATTTTCTGTAAGAAAATAATCCATAAATGTGATTTAAAGATATTTAATAGCATTTGTTATTGCAATTGTATGTCAATTGATGTTTGCAGAATGGCTTAAATTGTTAAAATAAATTTTATTATTTAATAAAAAAAAGAAGTTTTGTTCTATATATTCTATTAGGAAGACTGCAGCAATTTTCTGATTCTATTTTCCCAAATTAAAGGCCAACCTTGACATAAAAAACTAAATTTAAGATAAAGTAAAATGATTGACATTAAATATGAAGCTTTTGTAATGGGTAATTTACTTTAATAAACGCTGTATATTATGCTTTTTAACGTTAGCAATACAGAAATATTGCTAACGTTAAAAAGGGTATTATTTAAAAAATAATCTGATTTTAAGTGTTAAAAATTCAGTATTTTGTTTGAGAAAATTTGTAAAATCATCGCATCAGAAGCACTTATCATCACTTATTTATAAGTTATTACGTGTTAACAAGTAATTGTAATGTAAAAATATTAATTATTGTGTAAGTTATAATCCTCCTTGCTACGAATTAAATACAAATTATTTATGTAACTTTAAATTTGAATAATTAATCGCTTAAATCTAATTCAAAGTTATTAAATTCGCTATCGTTTTGTTGTAATATTATATAAGAAAAGTATGTTTATATGAAATTTTAAACGTTTATCAGTTGTTTTTGTATTTATGTATTTGTATATAGTTTATAATTTAATTTGTTCGTTATTAAAAAAAACACTCTCAATAAAATGCGTTTTAAATACGTTATTGTTCGGATAAAAATATTTATTTTATTTAGTAAGTGTATTTATATAAATATTCAAAACTACAGTAATGAAATATAATAATTAACATTTTAATTCGCATATATCAATATTTTTGATTATTTACTTAAAAATTAAAAATAAATAACTGAATAAATGCAAGCTACTAAAGAAGATAACGGAGAATGTTAGAAATGCAGTTTAAAATTTTTATTTTTAATAAGTTTAAGGAAATTTTTTACTCAAAACTAAAAAAGAATAGTTATTAAGTCTACAAAAATGATGATTAATTAGTTTTAAAGTTGATATTTAAGCTATAAATTAATGTATTAATTAATTAATTNTTAAAATTCAGATTAGTCCTCTAGTTAGATGATACAATGCTGATTTAACAGAAAATATAGGGAAAAATACTGTAATGTAATGTAAACTTTTAATCTAGAAATAATCCTAGACCGTGAATCTGTTTTAATGTTGAATTCACTTTTTATTTTCGGGTACGCTAAACAATGTCACTATCACTGGCCGAGTAGATAAAACTATTCATAATAATTTATTAATTCATTTAATCAATAATGTTTTCCATTTTGTAATCATACGAAAATGACATAACGTTAAAAGAATTTTGCTCAAGTTTCGATTATATCTAGACTCAAATACATTTAATTTAGTTTAAATTAATAACAAAATTAATATTTTGTTAGAACAAACGTGAACTTTCACCTACCTCGGGAGCTATGTACTCGGGCGTACCACAAAAGGTATTAGCTCTTCTGTCATTCTTTATACCTGTTTTACACATGCCAAAATCGGATATTTTGACATGACCGCTGTTATCCAGTAAAATGTTATCCAGTTTTAGATCTCTGCAAATTCATGCAAGCTTATTAGTAGAAACTACGGATTACTATAAAGTTATTAATTCCTCTTGGGTAAATAATCAATGTTAACATGCTGTAAGTATTTCGGGTATGTTAGTGAATCTGAAAGTGCATTAAAAAACGTACTTCTGGTGCAATGTAGTGTGGTGTGCCGCAGAAATTAGATGGAAGACATTCTTCACGATAAATCCTCATTTGGCACATGCCGAAGTCGACTAATCGAACGTGTCCTTCTATATCTAGGACCAAATTATCCAATTTCAGGTCTCTGGTCCAAATAAAAACAAAAATTCTCGTCAACAGATTCATCTTTTTATAAAAATATTTTCATGTAGGTAAATTTATTTATCTAATGTGGGATTAAACAGTTTTAAGTTAACCCAGTTTGAGTCTTATTTTAGGTCTTCATTAATCTCTTTAAGGATAATTGGACCATTAAATTTCCTTGCCAAAATTATTGGTGGGAAACTAGCACGAATATTTCATGAGCATTACGTGCTAGTTGACGCTCCTGTCAACGTTTGATGTCAAGGCAGTAAGCTTGACATCTTTAAGGAGGCATTCTCGCCAGAGTTTTGTCACTTTTGAAGGATTCTGGAATCTGAGATAGTCTGATTATTTATACCTATATACGCTTACCTGTAAACAATTCCTTTACGATGGAGGAATTTGAGAGCGCACACGATTTCTGCACTATAGAATCTAAGAAAATTAATAATGTTAAGCAATAGAAAGATTATAACACAAAGGTAAAATGTAAAGAAATACCTTGCTCTATCTTGATCAAATCTGCCAATTTGTTGAATATGAAACATTAGATCGCCTCCGCTTAGATATTCCATAACGAAGAATAAATGACTCTAATAAATTTTTAAAAAATCATTAGAATTATGTAAAATATATTAAATGATATTTGGTGCTTACCTCATTCTGAAAGGTGCAGTAAAGTTTGCATAAATAAGGATGATTACTACCTAAGGCTAATACTTTCCTCTCGATCATTGTGCATTCGATATCATTATCTTCCAAAACTACATCTTTCTTTAAACATTTAACAGCAAAGTAGCGATTTTGTCCTTTCATTTCGGCCAACATCACCTATCAAATAAAGTTTAAAATTTCACAACAAAAGAGGAAGTAAGGGAACAGGAGAACCATTATTGTTTCTAAAAATAAAGGACGGCACAGATTTAGTGGCTTAGCTTAAGATGCCAACACTCGATTAAGATGTCGAGTAGCACAGAAATAGATTAGAAGACTAGAATAAAGTCGGTGAGCGAACCAAACAAAAAAAGGAAGGAAAAAAGTCTAGAAATGTCAAGGTCACGACAATCCTATCTAATGAGATATTAATTAAAACATGACATATAACGTACGTAAGTGGGGTGGTTCATATAAACGTTTATTCCAGATAATTTGTAATTTTTGTATCTAAATTAAAGTAAATAAGTAACGTCATAGTTTTTAAAGGCTTTTTTAATCGAACATTAAGAGTATCTATTATAAATTTGATGGGGGTATACTAAATTTATTAATGTTTTACGTTGAATCATTAGTATTAAGCTTTATGTTTGGAAAAATATTATTAAAATCTCATACATTTTAATAAGAAAAGCAAAGTAGCGAAGGAACTGTCATATGTCATATTTTAAATATTAAATTGTCATATCAAATAGTTAATTAATGTGTATTTTAATAATTCCTATTGTAAATGATTCGGACATTTAAATTGGATTCTTTCAATTAAGGAAATAATCGTTAATTCAGTCTAATAGAGAAAACTTTTTACGTCTGTTGTCCAAAAATCCGTTTAAAATTTATATACTGCAAATTTTACGTGCTCATCGATTCAGATATGATCATAATTATGAAGTTATAAAAACAAAAATCAACTCAACATTCTAAGAAATTCGAAACTAAAAAGTCCGCAAAACGTGCTCAAGATGGATATAATATCATTAATATAAATGCGACAAAATAAAAACTAAACATTATTATTTTTTAATTGCATTTTCGTAACATAAATGAAACAGAAAATATATTTATTGTATGAATCAAAGTACATGTTAAGAAGAAAAATGCCTTTATTATAAACTAAGTTATGGACTGAATGTAGGCTATTAAACATAAAAAATGAAGTTTACAATAATTTGTATGAAATAAGCGAACTATTTCTACTATTTTTGTAAAGTAAATAATATTTTAAAAAGCAAGATTTCTTATTTCAGATTTTCTTTCCATATCATGATGATAAGAAATTAAAACATTGTCTTATTGCTTTAAATATTTAATGCTGTTTATGTTTTAACAGCATGTCTTATATACAGGGTACTTCAAAAAATGTCAATAGTTAAATGGAGAAGGTACAGGGCCAGTATTTTTTATTTATTTATTGTTTTTTTCAAACAACAACAAAACTTTTTGCACACGACGATTCATGAGAACTACACAGAGGACACTACAAATACAAATCCAGCATAATAAGTTACTTCCATATTAGTGTTAATATTTTTGAAGCATCCTGTATAAATAACATGCTTGCGCGTCAAGTTCAACTTTTTTCACTTAAAAGATTTTTTATGTATGCTAATTTGCGTCATTTTATCTGTATTTTTTTCGTACTTTCTTTCCTTCATTGTTCTTGTGCCAAGGACTTCCGTTACAGGCATATATAGCGAGAGTATAGTAAAATTTCTTTTTTACGCCCTGACTGAAAGAATGTATTAATAATAAAATAGCATTACCTTTCCAAAACTCCCTTTTCCGAGCATTTTTATGAAATTAAAATCATCTATAGTATATTTCTTGAAGCGAAGACGAGTAGTTGTATCTTTATTAGAAGATTCTTCGTTATTATCAGTGTTGAGTTCAGAACTGTCATCGGAATCGCTACTGCTCAAACTGCTACTTGATATTGAGGGTCTCACAGAAGAGTTAGGGGATTTAGACGTCAAAGATCCTTTTTCTAATAGAACAATGTTAAAATTAAAAGAATGTCACTCTATAATATGCCTTTAACAAAATATTAATTAACAAAATTTCTCACCTTTCTTGACTGTTTCTAGCACTTCAGATAGCAATTTTTGGTTTACTCCACATAAATTTGGCATCAAGCTTTCGCATTTTTTGTGGCAATTCACTTTACACTCTAAAGATAAAGCACAATTATCATAAGCAAAATAATAAATAAAAGTAGAAGAAGGAGAATAAAAACATGCCTTCTAATTTCTGTGTCTGTGGTGGTAAAGATGGTGATCGAGGAGATTCTATTCCAGAATCTAAAGATCTCAGTGAATCTGAATTATATTGATCTAAATTAACATTTCGACGTCTTATTGCTGGGCTAGTACAATTAGATATTTTCCAATTTATTGGTTTTGTCTGCCTAGTGATAGGTTGCTCACGAAACTTGATGACTTGACGATTTCTATGGATACCTAAATCTACAGAAATTAGATTCTTAGGTCGAGGTCGAAACGTAGTTAAGATAGGTCTTTCTCTTATAATTGGTCGACGATATTCAAATGTCGTACAAGGTGGTCTTTTGGATAGAGGCGAAGTGGTTAGAGGACTTCTGTGTGGTGAACCAAACATATAGCTATGATTCCTTGGCGAGGAAGATGGACTGATAAAGCTTTGGTGATCAAAAATCGAGAATGGCTGTGGCGAAGACAATAGATGAAGACCACCGGGATCCGAACGATAACAAGGAGTGTCTCTAAGTTTAGCAAGAAACGGGATAACCATTGGTTTACTTGGTGGTCTCGTGTAAAAATTACCTTCATCTAAGTAAATGGGTGCTCTCCTTCGATACATGTTTTCACAATGAGATGCGTATTTGCTATGGTGGTACTGCGAATTTCCTCCAGTTATACCGCGATGTCACCGCACTTGCGTTGTATACAGTTTATCACGTGATTTTATGTTTAGAAGGTGACGGAGGGATTCATATTTTTATCAACAAATACAAAACGGGAGAGTCGATCACTTCTAAAAACAGACCGCACGTTGCGCGTGGAAGAAGCATGTGGCAAATCAGGTGAAGGCAAAAATAGTTTAAGTTAGCTTCTTACGTGTCACGAATGTGATAAGACACAGATACAAAGTAAGATAAAAACAAACGGAGCCAATATGTCTCTCTCTCTCTCTCTCTCTAATCCACTGCCAGTTTGTTTTTTTTTTTTTTTTAATTTTTCTTTACTTACATTAGTAAATCTATAGTTATAAATTTAGACACAAGAACTAACTCACAGGTATCAATTTAGAAATATGATTTCCGTGACAAACAAAAGTATAGATGAAAAAAATTGATATAGAAAGAGCATAAAAATGCGTTATATTGTTTTAATGCTCTTATAATAAACGTTTAGAAATTATCCATTTTTAAAACTAGAAGTTTAATTAGAATTAAGTATGTAATTATACTCTGAAAATAATAATTTGTGAGGACATTTTAACGTCATTAGGATCGGATCCAATTATACTTCTACTCATTTAATTATCGTTCTATTTATCCGTTTATCAGAAAAGTTCGTCATTGTGATGAAAATAAAGTCGGGTAAAAAAAAAGACAGTAAAAATATTTCTAGTCGAAGAATGCAAAAAATCTTTGCTAGGCAACGATCCACCGAAGAGTAATATGTTGAAATAATATTGTGTTTCATATGTAAGCATTTTAAAAGCTGAATTCAATTCGGCGAATTTTACAAAAACAAACTCTCAAAATAAACTAAGAAATTTATAAGAGATTTTTTTAAGACTAGTTATAAATTTTTCTAAAAAATTAATGATAAGAAAACCGTATCTAAATTTATAATGTAGCCTACTTTGTCAATTTTCCAGTATTTAGTTTAATAAAACGCTTAAATAAGAAGCACACGTCATATTTAAAAGGTAATATTACGTACTGTAAGTGATATAGCATTACATACTGAGTGACGTTAATGGGCAATAAACCGAGATAAGTCAAGAAATATTGCTAACAGGTGGAGCCACTTTCAAGAATGTGTGATTTTTGTTTTATGCATATCAATTTTCAACTGAGACCTTAATGACTGCGTAGTTTATAACATAATTAGAAAAGGTCAATACTTACGTTCGCATCGAAGGCCCTGTCGAAAAATCCCGTACAGAAGAGATCCACAATGATCACAAAAAGTTGGACTCATGTAATTGTGGATTCGAAATCTGTGAGGTACGTCGATTTTGAATCGCTCACGAAGATACTAAAGAATATAGAAAATTGAGAATATTCATCAAATTATTTGAAAATAAATAAATGTAAAAGATTCTAACCAGAGTAACTTGAGATTCTTTGCCTGATTCTGGACATTTTCCGAGGATTTTATCATGACATTTCTTGTGAACAGCTACTTGACATACTGAAAATTTTCGAGGTTTCATTTTACTTTTTTACATAAAGTTGTCAAACCTATATCTGAAAATGCCGTATATACTCACGTTGACATTGATAACCTTGCTTACCAAATCCCCTATAATGAAATGAGATTGGCTGTTAAGCTTGTATGTAAAAGCAGTATTAAAACTTAAATTGTATTCTTTTGTAATAAATTTTACGATCATCACCAGAGAAAGTCTTTACAAAATGCACAGAAAGTAGGTTGACGAAAAAATTTTGCAATGAATTTATGTCCTTTAATTTCGTGTACTCGTTGATGTTTTATTGCTCCTCTTCTGCCAATTTTTCCCAAACCATTGTGTTCGTCAAACCAGGGCGTTGCTGAAGCAAAAACAATAAGAATTCTCTCAGTTTCAGTCCTTATATAATGCTAAATAAAATGAAATTTGATACTAATTTGATTTTTTAGTGTAATTTGTTCTAATTCTTGTTATTGGGGTAAAGAAAATAATTGCATCCTTTTGTTTCCTTCTTACATAAATGTAAAAATACGAAAAAATTTATATTCTTTCTCTTCTGACTTTTGGATAATATATAACTTCAATTTTTAAAAAATATCAAGCCAATAATGACTATAAAATTTCCAAAAAAGAGTTAAAAAAGGTATAAAAAAGAAAATAATTTGTAGAGAAAAAACTTTTATTTACATTATTACTAACAAGCTTTCCAAATGCATTTCGCCTGCGGCCTCTTCAGTGGGGCTTACAGTACACAAAGTGCGTTCTCAAGGCTTGATATTTTTTTATAAAAAAGAAAATAATTTGTAGAGAAAAACTTTTATTTACATTATTACTAACAAGCTTCCCAAATGCATTTCGCCTGCGGCCTCTTCAGTGGGGCTTACAGTACACAAAGTGCGTTCTCAAGGCTTGATATTTTTTTTTTTAAATTGAAGTTATATATTATCCAAAAGTCAGAAGAGAAAGCAAAATATAAATTTTTTCGTATTTTTACATTTATGTAAGAAGGAAATAAAAGAGAAAATTTCTGACTCCATCGAATTTTATAATTTTTTGGAAAATAATTGCACTTCTTTCAATAGGCTTGTTAAGTTGGCTTCTCTTTTTCGGTCATCTAAATTCCTTTAAATATCAATTGTAATACAATTAAGTAAAAAATATATAGTTCTATTCTAGTGTTGTTTATTTATTACAGAAATCTCTATAATTAATACCTCAATATTTTGGCAATCAATTATTTTGACCCAACACTTCCAGGCGTATTTAAAAGTTTTAAAAAATTAATAAACACTATATAAAATTCAAATTAACTACATGAATTCTAGCTAAATGGATAAAACTATGCAAAGGGCACTAATAAATTTCATAGCACTGAATTACTTATGCCACTAGTTTTTAAACATTTAATAAGCGTGTTATAAAAATATTCTTATATTAATTTCGAAATTTCTCTTAGTTTTATTGTGAAAGTAAACACACTTAAGCATGTTAAACACGTTGTTTCTTGCGCATTCATAATTCGAGAGTTTGATTCCTACTTGAATGATTGTATTTGTCGAAGAAGAGTGCTAGGTCTATGGTTGTCAGAAGTCATTTATTTCAAAGGACAATCCTTTATTTTAGCTAAACTGTTCTTGTCTTTTATTCAAACAAGAAAGGACGCAAGACTCCTTTATTTTCATTCTTTGATGCCTGTGTTTCTTGCAGCGGCTGATTTATTGGCAGGGATGTATTGTCTATCTTTATGTATCAAGCCATATCATTCTCCATAAAAGGATATAGTTTCCCATTAAAAATTTTAAATTTGCAAACATTTACAGGCAATATAAAAACTATAATTTTTAAATTAAATTATAAATGTAAAAATGTCAGAATTTTACTTTCCCGGCTGTTATTTATATAAGAGGGCGATCGGTCAAAAAATGACTCCCCCCAAGATTTTTACATTTTTGGACTTAGGACACCTTGAAACGTCGAGAAATGCAAAAAATTCGGGGTAATTTCTATTTATATGGATGTTAGTGAATGTGTGTGGGGGGCACGATTTTGTTCACCCTGTTTGAAGCTTAATAACTCCTGTGCTTTTTGTCGAAAATTTCTGAAATTTTGCAGGGAACTTTGTGTATTAGGGGAATTGATGCTATTAAATTTTGGTGATTAAAGATCGAGGGGTGGATAGATAATGGGGTCGTGTGTATCTCCAGTAGGGTCGGACTTAATGACGATTTTACTCGTTATCAGCATTTACAATTTTTTTTTATAAAAACCCATTCCAATCCTGAAAATTAAGCTTTTTACCATTTTATAATAGTTAAAAATATAAAAAGTTTTTAAAATAAAATATGATCAGAGTCGGATTTGAGGCGATTGGAGCGATTTGTGCCAATCGGGCCCGCGCTTGAAGGAGCCCCACAGCACATCAAAATTTATATATTTAAAAATAGTACATGTTACAAAAATAAATATCTAGGTATATTATTATTAAAAATATAACAACATATTTCAATATGTAAATTAACTGTTAATTAATTTTATTATATAAAGTTTGAGAGGCCCCGCTAAAAAAAATTCAATCGGGCCTCGCACCTATTGGATCCGGCGCTGAATATGATAACAATGATGCCACCAAAATTTTAAACGTTGCCGGGAAAGTTGAGTAACTCATTGCTGGTTTATTTTGGGATGGAATGGGGATGAGTGAAAGTTAGATATGGTAACATTAATCATTTTTTAAATGTCCTTTAATCCAGTCATAGAAATCTGGCAACCTGACCTAGGTCTGACATTGTATTTAATTGTATTAAACTAGATCTTAATACAGAATAATTAAGGAAGTGCGAAGATACGTACTTATTTATAGATCTATTCTAATTATTTTACCAATTATCGAAAGCTCGCTTACAAGAATTAGATTATTTCTTTATAATAAGCACCGTATATGTAAATTTTCATAAATGATATACGAAAACAAAGGCACTTTATGTATTAACTTTATATATTATGCATTGAATATTTTACGTGTTTGTTATCAATTTGTTACACATTTAATAGGTTCTGTAATAAATATTTCAATTCACATAAGTATAAAATTTAAACATCTTTGCGTAAATTCATTTTTAACAGTGATAAATTTAGGGTTTTTTTTTTCTTACGGAATTGTATCTATTAGTAATAATACAAATCTAATAAAAGTTATTGGCTTGTATATTTTATTTACACTGTGTTTAAAAATTGTATTAGAATAATAAAAATAATGTAATTAAGTTATAAAATTGAAACGTAATTTTTGTTGATAATGAATTCGTTAATTCATATCAACCGGAAACGTTATCTGATATTAGGCCTAAGTATTAAAAATAAAAATATTACATTAGGAACTGCCTATTAATTACGTGTTCAGTTTAAGGGAAAGGGGTAGCAAAAAGTGCATCAGTGTACACTATGGGAGGGAGTACAGTATATCTAGGCATTGTCTACATGGACTTTTTTAGTAGTATTAACACTGGCGTAACCAGAGAGGGACCCGAGCGAGCCCCTTTTCGTAATATGAGAAAGTTAATAAAAATGTTACTGTAGAAAAGCTAATTTAACTGTGGAATTAACTACTGACCTAGTAATTTATATAATGTTCATTATAATTCATTATAGGCCTATAGTATTAAAATATGTAGTAATTCATATTAAATTTTAACCTTTGGTTACACTACTGGCTAATAATAACCTATGAACTTGTTCTTATAAGCCCATTTACTAGTCATGTGAATAAATGATCAGTAAGAAAATATTTGTAAAACTTTTAAAAGTCATTTCTTCTAAGTCGGGTCCATGAGTAATTGTACTCGTAATTAAAGGGGGTTGAAAGTAGAAGTAGCTCAAAAACTGTACACATAATTAATGGACAGTCCCTTATGTATTCATTAAAAATTATTAAATTTTGATTAGAAATTTTTATATAGCCTAATTTAATTATTTCTTAAAATAATCGATAATCATTTTTATCGGTAAATGCTATTTAAACTTTTGAGAATTCAATTTCTTTTATGTTAATATTTATTCGATAAATATTAATCGTTTTATTATGAATTCTTTTATATTTCTTTCCTTTTAAAGCCATCGTAGGATTCGTGTCGTTAGTTTATATTATTTTACTGACCTTCACCATCCTTGAAATGTTTGACTTGAGTGAGAATCCTCCCACTCGGCCTGAGTTTAAGCTGAAAAGAAAAGAAACTAAATTATTTGCAGGAAACGTAACGAAGGATTATCGAATTTTAACTTACCCAAATAGGTCTATTCTCTTCGTCTGCACACTTATCTGCCAAAACTTGAGCGCTAATTAGCAAATCGGCTAAGAGACGGTCGGGTCTGTCCATTACTACTACGTGCAGCAAATAACCTGAAAAGTTAATTTTAAAAATAATATGCTGGGGAAAAAATAGCCTATACTTCTTTGAAGAAGTGCTATAATGGAAAAGACGTTCCTTATTAAGAAAGCTTTTCTTACAAACCTCTTGAGATCTGGACGTCGAAGCAAGAATCCCATTCCAAATATTGACTTCGTTTCCTTTGCACAATCTCCACTCCTTTACCTGAAACCAATCGAGAATATGTGAATTTTTATAATTTTCAAATAAGAATATTTATTTTGAATACGAGTGATTAAAACAGTGCTTTATTTCTCGTTCTTTTAATGAAGCGCACATGAAAGAAAGAATGTATTGTTTTCTTCTAATCAAAGTCTTCAAAATTAAATTTTGTACCGAAAAAAACTTAATTTTCTCTGATCGTATCGTCGATAATTTTTATGGGAAACGATTCACGTGAGACGAAATATTTGTATAAATAATTAAACGGATGATAATGTGGAGAAACATCCTTCTATCATTGGAAATTGTTCGGGTGAAGCTCCTGTTGTTTAAGATGGTCGACAGTGCAGAAACTATCGATCTTCTGTCAGAAACGTGACTCAACCTAGCAACTGTTACAGCATTATTCTCAAGTTTTCATTATGCATCGATGGTTATACATCGCGATTCTATTATTTGTAACATTAAACGGTATAAATGAGAAGAAAGAGAAAACATTAAGAGTGACACATTTTATGTCATCGTCATTAATCGTATTAACTAGTAATGTATGTAACGCTGACCAAATCGAATCTGTTTAATCTTCTTCAGACAATGATAAATAAGGACGTAAAAGTAAATAATTCTGATTACCTGTAAATATGCGGCAACAGATTACATTATTATTAAGTATAATGTAGTTTAATTGAAGGCTAATTAAATACTCCAATATACTGTTTTAAAAAAATTTACAAATTGTTTGTGTAACTTTTGGAAGTGGGTTGTTTTATAATTCTTGTTATATCATTACGCTGATCACAGGACCGTAAAGACCAATGACCAAATACGTGACGTAAAAGTCTCATTATATGTTCAGCAGTCCTTTGAAAAAATTGCAAGAATATTTTTATTTCTGCATACAATTACCTGTCTAAAATTAGCAACCATTTTATTATATGTGTTCCTTTGGGTTCGTTAAAACGAGATAATTAGCTGGAAAGGACACTCGTTTACATTAAAATTTAAATAATTTATATCTTAACACAGTTTTGGAAACGTTGGCAAAAGTCAAATAATTTTAAAGTATTTTCTGTAAGAAAATAATCCATAAATGTGATTTAAAGATATTTAATAGCATTTGTTATTGCAATTGTATGTCAATTGATGTTTGCAGAATGGCTTAAATTGTTAAAATAAATTTTATTATTTAATAAAAAAAAGAAGTTTTGTTCTATATATTCTATTAGGAAGACTGCAGCAATTTTCTGATTCTATTTTCCCAAATTAAAGGCCAACCTTGACATAAAAAACTAAATTTAAGATAAAGTAAAATGATTGACATTAAATATGAAGCTTTTGTAATGGGTAATTTACTTTAATAAACGCTGTATATAGCAATACAGAAATATTGCTAACGTTAAAAAGGGTATTATTTAAAAAATAATCTGATTTTAAGTGTTAAAAATTCAGTATTTTGTTTGAGAAAATTTGTAAAATCATCGCATCAGAAGCACTTATCATCACTTATTTATAAGTTATTACGTGTTAACAAGTAATTGTAATGTAAAAATATTAATTATTGTGTAAGTTATAATCCTCCTTGCTACGAATTAAATACAAATTATTTATGTAACTTTAAATTTGAATAATTAATCGCTTAAATCTAATTCAAAGTTATTAAATTCGCTATCGTTTTGTTGTAATATTATATAAGAAAAGTATGTTTATATGAAATTTTAAACGTTTATCAGTTGTTTTTGTATTTATGTATTTGTATATAGTTTATAATTTAATTTGTTCGTTATTAAAAAAAACACTCTCAATAAAATGCGTTTTAAATACGTTATTGTTCGGATAAAAATATTTATTTTATTTAGTAAGTGTATTTATATAAATATTCAAAACTACAGTAATGAAATATAATAATTAACATTTTAATTCGCATATATCAATATTTTTGATTATTTACTTAAAAATTAAAAATAAATAACTGAATAAATGCAAGCTACTAAAGAAGATAACGGAGAATGTTAGAAATGCAGTTTAAAATTTTTATTTTTAATAAGTTTAAGGAAATTTTTTACTCAAAACTAAAAAAGAATAGTTATTAAGTCTACAAAAATGATGATTAATTAGTTTTAAAGTTGATATTTAAGCTATAAATTAATGTATTAATTAATTAATTAATGTGTTTATTCAATCTATATTCTATGTTCTATATTTCTCATATTTTTATAATTTCAATAAAATCATTTTTATTCAATTTTTAACAAAATATATTTGATATTCTTTAAGAAAAAAGCCTCCTGATCCTATTAGAACATAAAATAATTTTGGTGAGAGAGCAGCATTGTTATTTAAATTTATTTATATTTAAAAAAATTAAATTATTAATAAAAACTAAAGAAAAATTTTAAGATTTAAATCAATTCCGGTTCATAAATCTGCAATCTTCTCGAGTAAACAACACAAAAGTAAATAAAAAGAATTGCTTCTCCTAGAAGTATAACTTTCAATGCACAGTTCAAATTCCAATTGACTGTTGAGACATACAATATAAATGGTTTAAAAAAATAAAACTTAATTATATTTAACTTTCATTTATTTTCAAAATATAATAGAGTTTCTTATTAAAATTTAGGGAATAAAATAAAAATTATAATAATCGTTTTAGTAAAAGCTAGGCTGAAAGAAGACAAGAGTAAAAAATCTCAATTTTATATCCTTTTGTAACGTATTATTTTATAAATTATTTTGTTTAGACATCTTGATATTGTTGCCAAAATATATAATTAATTAATTAATTTTTTTTACAGTAGCGAGCTTCCAGAAAGTCTGACTCACTAAAAGTAGTAATAATTTATTTACTGTACTAAAATAAATTAATAATTTTTCTACCGTAAATTATTTTATTGAGGACATTTATATTTAAAGCATATTTTAAAAAAATGTTTTAAAATAAAAATAAAATTGAGATAATAAAGTAATTTTCAATAAATTAATCTAAAAAACAAAATATAGTAAAAACTGTTTATATAATAAGTACATATAAACATTTTTACACTTAAAATAAATTTATTAGTTATTATGCGTTACATTTTTAGATATATAATTTTATATTAATTTAAATTGGTGATTTCAAATAGGTATAATATAAGTATAATGTGGTTAGCTACGTCATTATTAAGTTAAATTCTATAGTATAATCTGCTTTCATGGGTTTATGCGGTGTATGAATGTATACAGTATTCACATATCTCTCTGTTACATAAGCTTACAGAAAATACATTGTACAATAGAGAATGCAGAATTTTACGTTATCCTATTATTTTTATGGAGTGATTTAATAGAATAAAATTTAATTAAAATTCATAAGGGTATCATACATGCCGGCCTATTAAAAATCATAAGTCCGAACATAATTGTTTTGAATGCCATAAAATGCCAATAATATACTCATTCTTAAATTATATTTATCTGATAATGTGCAATATACGAACAAGTTCACCCATTAAGATATTATAAGTTAGTAGTAGTTTAATTTTATATTGAGAATAGAAAAAACTATAAGTAATAGTAGTTTTTTCTATTGTAAGGTATAGAACGGTAGAATTATGGGTATGCATGTACCTGCTAATTCAAATAATTTGAACCACTTAACTCTGCAATTATTAATCTTTATTAGTTTCTCTGGATATCATTTAGTTAAAATAAATAATTTAATCACATTTGAAGTAAAGCCTCCGCGAATCTCTCTCTATGTAAGTTTTTTCCTAGGTTTTGAATCATGCATTCATAAACTAAACCTTTCTATAATCATGTAAATCTTTCAAATTTACACGATACCAATTATTTTGCTGGATATTAAGCGGATATGATTTTAAATTTACTTTCGAGGAAAGTGTTGCCTTAGAGTTGTAAAATTTACTACTAAATCTTTGCCGTGAAACGTAAGTAAGAAGTGGGAACGCCAAAGTCAATTTTCGTATAATTTGTAGACTTAAATGAAACTTACCTGGTACATCGATTGCTTCTTTCAATCTGACTACACAGTAAGGTTCGATCACTTCAGCCAATCTGCCATTTGCTACTTCATTTCCTAACTCCAACCGACAGAACTTGATTCTTACGAATCCCTTCGACATATCCTGAACAAAATGAAACTGAGTCAATATAATACAGGACTAAAATCCCCAGAGATTAAGCATGCATAGGTTGACAATGTTTATACAGCTTCCATGACTAAAGTCAACGTATAAGAAGAGCTGAACAGAGAAATATATATTAAAATACATTTGTAGAAAAAGGAAAGCAATCTCCTCCATATGGAAGATATCCACTGCATCTGCTTTTGTTTGCACAACTGTATATAGGAAAACCAAACCCGCTTATTTTTATAATGAAAAAGTATTAACAATCAAACTTCATTGATTTCATCTTCGTAGAAATTTAATCAGTTTAACTTTTGAAAGCAATTCTGCTTGTGATATTATTTATAATTTCAAAATACAGATATTTGGCAACTTACTTTAACGCAACAACAGAAAAAATATATTTTAGAACATAAAACAAATTTGATGCAAAAAAATAAACTTATCTGTCTGTATATATTTCAATATTTTGCACACACACACACATATATATATGCACATACTTTCGTATACAGCAATATAGGTTACATAAATATAACCTTTATTGTTTTATATAAAATTTAAGTATGTCAGATCGATGTATGAATATATATATATATATACGGTATTCACACATCTATCTGTTACATAAACTTACAGAGATACAATAAAAAAATGCAGAATTTTACGAAATCCTATTATTTTTATAAAATGATTTAATATCAGAATAAAACTTTAATTAAAATTTATAAGAAGTATTATACATGCCGGCCTATTAAAAGTCATAATTTTACACCTATTTAAGAAGGATCTTTCGCCAATCCATTAAATTCACTTAATGAATATTCTCATTAATTATAATCGAAAAATATACAAAATATTCTCATCGGTAATTAAAATTATTATCAAGTTATTTTAGAATAATACTTCTATTTTATAATTATTATAGATTATTCATATAAATGTTTTTTATATTTACATAATCTTATATATAATCAAGTTTAATGAGAAGCGGGATCGACATTATATCATCTTGGATTAAGACTTAGAAGATTGGCTATCCTCATAAACGACAGTTATTTATAAATTATGATAGGCAATTGCAGCGGTAAAATTGTTTAATTTTTTCAATTTTGGGGCCTCCGAATCCCGGATGGCTTAACCATGTGCTTCACGTGCCTAATGGGTAATACGTCACCGATCGTCATCATCAAAATAACATTTTAATGTCGATGTCGTAATTTAAAAATATCCTTGCATTATTTTAGGAAAGTAATTCAGTTTTATATATTTAAAATGCAGAAAAATTGATATTTTAAAAAGTATTCTATATTCTATATATCATCCTCCTCCTCCTCTTCATCATCATCATCATCAAAACAAAATTTCTTATGATGATGTCGGTAGGACATCTTCAAGTATTTATACAAAACAAAATAGAAAGATTCCATTTGACTTTGTATATAAAGATAAGGAGAAAATATAAAATGCATTCTGTATTTACTGATCATCAATATTTACTGATAATTTTATTATTAATGAATAAATTCTTTTATGATAAATATACTCACACAGTCAACAACAACACGAATTTTTATATTTGAATACTCACCTCATTGGTTACTTGTTTCCGTTTCCTTTTACTAATTTCGATTATAAAACTGTTAAGATTTATTTTCAAAAACTTTTGCTTATCGATAGATTATAAAATGACTCTTCTATCCATCCGTATAATTCACCTGTAAAGCAGCCGCTTGTTGTAACTCGTATACGCCAACCTTTTACCGGAAGAAGACCTTCGCCTTGAGTCACGTGATGCTTTGTTAGCATCCGATTGGTCGCTTTTTTCGATCTTTTCAATTTTCCGAGATAATCGTCTGCTGCTTTTTGATATCGATAATTCTCGGAGATTTCGCTTTAGCGGCTCGTTGAAATGAAAAATTAGAAATTTATTTATTTCTTATGACATATTCAAATGTATTAAATTCGATGAATTTTTAAAAATTAACATAGTTTTTTCTTGAATAAATAAATATCGAATTACCGTTATTCTCATTTTGAATTAACCAATGAAATTTCGTTTTATATTTCAAAAATAAATCATCTGAAAATTTTTAAATTTGATAAAGTTAATTAAATAAATTCTAAAATATTATTCTTAATTAATAATTTTATGTCTAAATCACGAATCGTGTTTAAAATAATTGTGTAAACCTCCTTATTAAAAATTAAATTTAAATCGATTTCTTCACCAGAGGGCTTATTTAAAACTTAAAAGAAAATAAAGAATGAAGTGAATTTTAAACAATAATCTTTGTAATAATTTAATTTTACTGAATTTTTATTTAAAATAAATAAATAATTTATAATAATACTAATAAATAAATGCATAATACATTTTCTGATTTTTATTCTTTTCAAATTAAAACAATGGAAGATACCACGCGCCAATCTCGATTTGTATCTCGTATCTTCGAATTAACAGATTATCTTCAATTTTCTTCTCAGTTTTAAATCTCTGCAATTAAAATAAAATATAATTTAAATATTTTATAAAATAATTCATTAGAATTAGCGATGATTTTTTTAGAAAATGCTTCTTAATAATTTATTTTTCAGTTAAGCAGTCGAATATTTTTGGATTTAAACATAAAAATCGAACAAAAATTACTCCAAAATTTAAATTTTGGGTATTTAAAATGATGCAGTCAAACCTGTAAACGACGGCCGCCGACGGAAACATAAAATATGGCAGTTGTTGAAATGGCTAATGTTTGGAGGTTATTTTGTCTGCATTTTTGTTCAACGTCCTGAAAAAAATGGCCGCCGTTTAGAGGGGTCCTTGATAGAGATTTGATTGTATTTATAAAATTGTAAATTGTTTAATTATATACCTGTAATATGTAGCCTATATACAGTCAAACCTTCAATAACAGTCACTACCGAACAACGTGCATTTTTTTTTACTCCAGACACGTAGAGGTCTTAAAATTTAGTCTTTTATGTAAACCCCCATCAAAATGATATAATTAGTTTGTTTTGATGAAAAATATCTGTTTTTATTGATTTTATGTATATATTTTGATGGCCTTTGAGAAGAGTTGTCATTATTTATGCCTGCTGCAGCCTCTAGGTGTTGAAGAAAACGGAGGTTGAGGTGGATCCTCAACCTCCGTTTTACGTAAAAAAAATTATACAAACGTACAGGGTCAAACCTCTGAATTACGGTCACTGACAAGAACATTAAAAAGTGGCTGTTGTTCGGAACTTATTTAGTAGGGAATTCAAAAACAAACGCTTCTGGAAAAGTAGCCGTTGTTGGGAGACGATCGTTATTGGAAGTTTGTCTGTAATATGAATTAAAACTTCTATTTATAAATGGCGAAAATAACAGTTTGTATTGATTTTATTCATATAATTTTTATGGTGTTCAGAGCGGAGTGAGGTCCGACATTTGTGACTGGTTTATGCCCTGTATGTGAACTGTAACGATTCTAATTAGAAAAATGCTTGTTAAATTTTCTAGAAAGTTATTATAATAGTAAATGCAACCGTATTTATTTTTATAATTAATAAAAATTTCTAGAGATGAAATTCAGGTCAATTACATTAAATGCACATTGATTCATTTCCTTTCTTACTTCTTGTTACTATATTTTTCTAATAATAAATTACATGCGATTGATTATTCTCCGAGAATTGCTAAAGAATAATTTCTTCAAATTTCACTATAAATTATTTATCATTTCTATTATTTATTATTAAGGGTTTTCAGGAAACCCAGAGGGACTAAAGTCGCTAATTGCCCTGGACCCTGATGAATTAGGGACCATACTTCATGTTTTATCGTCTGCTTCCTTTATTTTAATATAAATAATTAGCTATAGGGCCCTAATATGTGTTTTGCCTCAGGTCCCATTATCTTGAGGGTTTATATATATATATTTTTTTGACTAAACATAAGTCTAAACTTTAACATAATTTCCATTCATTTATTTATTAATTTTTAAAATAATACAATGGACTTCTGCATAACGCGACACTTTCGTTATTTTCGCGTAACGTTATTCCTAAATAAGAAAATATTGGTTTGCGTATCACAATACTTTACGCGACAGCACACAAGTTTTCAATTTTTATCCTAAATTTAGGGATTTTTTAACCTGTTAGGGGCTAAGAATTCCCAAACAGGGTTTTTTCTGGGGATAATTTATATTTTAATTAGAGACTTATTTAATAATCTCGTATTATTATTATTATTATTTTAGAAGATTGGCTATCCTCATAAACGACAGTTATTTATAAATTATGATAGGCAATTGCAGCGGTAAAATTGTTTAATTTTTTCAATTTTGGGGCCTCCGAATCCCGGATGGCTTAACCATGTGCTTCACGTGCCTAATGGGTAATACGTCACCGATCGTCATCATCAAAATAACATTTTAATGTCGATGTCGTAATTTAAAAATATCCTTGCATTATTTTAGGAAAGTAATTCAGTTTTATATATTTAAAATGCAGAAAAATTGATATTTTAAAAAGTATTCTATATTCTATATATCATCCTCCTCCTCCTCTTCATCATCATCATCATCAAAACAAAATTTCTTATGATGATGTCGGTAGGACATCTTCAAGTATTTATACAAAACAAAATAGAAAGATTCCATTTGACTTTGTATATAAAGATAAGGAGAAAATATAAAATGCATTCTGTATTTACTGATCATCAATATTTACTGATAATTTTATTATTAATGAATAAATTCTTTTATGATAAATATACTCACACAGTCAACAACAACACGAATTTTTATATTTGAATACTCACCTCATTGGTTACTTGTTTCCGTTTCCTTTTACTAATTTCGATTATAAAATTGTTAAGATTTATTTTCAAAAACTTTTGCTTATCGATAGATTATAAAATGACTCTTCTATCCATCCGTATAATTCACCTGTAAAGCAGCCGCTTGTTGTAACTCGTATACGCCAACCTTTTACCGGAAGAAGACCTTCGCCTTGAGTCACGTGATGCTTTGTTAGCATCCGATTGGTCGCTTTTTTCGATCTTTTCAATTTTCCGAGATAATCGTCTGCTGCTTTTTGATATCGATAATTCTCGGAGATTTCGCTTTAGCGGCTCGTTGAAATGAAAAATTAGAAATTTATTTATTTCTTATGACATATTCAAATGTATTAAATTCGATGAATTTTTAAAAATTAACATAGTTTTTTCTTGAATAAATAAATATCGAATTACCGTTATTCTCATTTTGAATTAACCAATGAAATTTCGTTTTATATTTCAAAAATAAATCATCTGAAAATTTTTAAATTTGATAAAGTTAATTAAATAAATTCTAAAATATTATTCTTAATTAATAATTTTATGTCTAAATCACGAATCGTGTTTAAAATAATTGTGTAAACCTCCTTATTAAAAATTAAATTTAAATCGATTTCTTCACCAGAGGGCTTATTTAAAACTTAAAAGAAAATAAAGAATGAAGTGAATTTTAAACAATAATCTTTGTAATAATTTAATTTTACTGAATTTTTATTTAAAATAAATAAATAATTTATAATAATACTAATAAATAAATGCATAATACATTTTCTGATTTTTATTCTTTTCAAATTAAAACAATGGAAGATACCACGCGCCAATCTCGATTTGTATCTCGTATCTTCGAATTAACAGATTATCTTCAATTTTCTTCTCAGTTTTAAATCTCTGCAATTAAAATAAAATATAATTTAAATATTTTATAAAATAATTCATTAGAATTAGCGATGATTTTTTTAGAAAATGCTTCTTAATAATTTATTTTTCAGTTAAGCAGTCGAATATTTTTGGATTTAAACATAAAAATCGAACAAAAATTACTCCAAAATTTAAATTTTGGGTATTTAAAATGATGCAGTCAAACCTGTAAACGACGGCCGCCGACGGAAACATAAAATATGGCAGTTGTTGAAATGGCTAATGTTTGGAGGTTATTTTGTCTGCATTTTTGTTCAACGTCCTGAAAAAAATGGCCGCCGTTTAGAGGGGTCCTTGATAGAGATTTGATTGTATTTATAAAATTGTAAATTGTTTAATTATATACCTGTAATATGTAGCCTATATACAGTCAAACCTTCAATAACAGTCACTACCGAACAACGTGCATTTTTTTTTACTCCAGACACGTAGAGGTCTTAAAATTTAGTCTTTTATGTAAACCCCCATCAAAATGATATAATTAGTTTGTTTTGATGAAAAATATCTGTTTTTATTGATTTTATGTATATATTTTGATGGCCTTTGAGAAGAGTTGTCATTATTTATGCCTGCTGCAGCCTCTAGGTGTTGAAGAAAACGGAGGTTGAGGTGGATCCTCAACCTCCGTTTTACGTAAAAAAAATTATACAAACGTACAGGGTCAAACCTCTGAATTACGGTCACTGACAAGAACATTAAAAAGTGGCTGTTGTTCGGAACTTATTTAGTAGGGAATTCAAAAACAAACGCTTCTGGAAAAGTAGCCGTTGTTGGGAGACGATCGTTATTGGAAGTTTGTCTGTAATATGAATTAAAACTTCTATTTATAAATGGCGAAAATAACAGTTTGTATTGATTTTATTCATATAATTTTTATGGTGTTCAGAGCGGAGTGAGGTCCGACATTTGTGACTGGTTTATGCCCTGTATGTGAACTGTAACGATTCTAATTAGAAAAATGCTTGTTAAATTTTCTAGAAAGTTATTATAATAGTAAATGCAACCGTATTTATTTTTATAATTAATAAAAATTTCTAGAGATGAAATTCAGGTCAATTACATTAAATGCACATTGATTCATTTCCTTTCTTACTTCTTGTTACTATATTTTTCTAATAATAAATTACATGCGATTGATTATTCTCCGAGAATTGCTAAAGAATAATTTCTTCAAATTTCACTATAAATTATTTATCATTTCTATTATTTATTATTAAGGGTTTTCAGGAAACCCAGAGGGACTAAAGTCGCTAATTGCCCTGGACCCTGATGAATTAGG